GAAAACACAGTTCTGGACCAGAGTCAGGCTCTGCCATCCCAACTGCATCACTGATCACTGACTGCCCTTGAGTGAGTCCCTTCTTTCTCTGGGGCTCAGCCTCCAACTCTGGACACGGAGGAGCTTAGACTGGAAGTAGCTGAGAGCCCCGAAGAGTGAAAAGAGTCGCAGTGACCCAGACAAACTGACCCACATGTGCTGCTTGCTAGCTATGTGACCGTGGGCTGGGCAACATACTTAACCTCTCTGAACTTGGACTTAATCTGAAAACTGGAGATCACAAACCGAGGTTATTGGGAAGAAAAAAATAGTCAATAGATATAAAGAGCTTAGGACAGTGCCCAACACTTAGTAAGCACCCAATATGCGTTAACTAGGCTATTCTAAGTTCCTAGGCAGACCTTCGCACTTGGGGTTTTTCTACCCACTGAAGTGGTTCCCTGGCACTGCCCACCTGATATTGAAGGTGGAGCCAAAAAAAGAGGGACGACGAGACTGGGCGGAAGCGGCTGTGTAGGGGGGTTGCGGTTCTGGATCATTCCAATACATGTCCCGCTCCATCGGGGGCAGGTCCTGGTGCATCTCATCCACAGCTAACAGGGACACCTGGTCGCCAGGGACGGAAGGAGAAGTCCAACAGAAAGGTCAGCCCAAGTAGGACCATGTACTTGCCAGATTACTTGGAGAGGTCATGTCCATCTCTCTGGGCCTCAGTTTCCCTACGTGTGAAATGGAGAGACTGACACCTACCTGCAGCCTCAAAAGTTGAGGTGAGGATCTTGTGAGTGGATGGTTGGTAGGAGAAGGGGGTGAGGCAATTCACTGTCAGGCTTCTCTACAGCCTGTGGGGTCCCCCTCCCTAGGTCCAATTTGGGGGGGGGTCCATGGGACAGGCTCCTTCCCCGCCGCTACCCCATACCTGCAAGCTCCTGTCGACAATCCAGTTGGTCTCAAAGTCATCATCATCCTCCCCAAATGGGTTGATGAGCTGCTCTGCCACCTTGAGGGGAGGCGAGACTCTGGAAATGCTCAGGTAGAACTGTTTGCAGCCTTGCTTCCCACCCACAAGCCTCGGCCCCTGCCGTTTCCACACCCCTCCCCCTCCCAGGAGGCCCTTCCTGCCTGGGCCTTGTCTCCAAAGCCACCATGAAAGGGCTACAGCCACCCACACGTGTGGGCGCCCACACGCCCACCCTGGGGAGCTTTTCTGACTCTGCCAAACCACTCTCTCCTCAAATACCCAGACCTGTCCTTGAGTGTGTCACTCAACCCAGTCACCACCTTATCTCCCCTCGCTGCATCTTACCTGGAGTTGCATAATTCTATTCATTCGTTCGGTTACTCATTCATGGTTTCAAACATTCCTTTATTCATTATTTTCGAACGCAACAGAGATATATGCTGAGGCTGTGCTGAATTAAAGGGCGGCCCAGGTGGGCGGACTCCTGGGCACGAACCTCTGAAATCTGACAAAGCCCTGCAGTGGTGGCGAGCCACGCTAAGGGTTCAGGGGACACCCTGCAAGCCACTGGGGTGCCACAGAATTTCAAGCAGCAAAATGGTGTGATCCAGTTTGTTCTGTAGGTAACCAGGGGAGCGGGCAGAGGGAATAGCTCCTCACCTGTGTGTGTGTGTGTGAGTGTGAGTGTGTGTGTGAGTGTGTGTGTGTGTGTGTGTAAAACATGGACAGGAGGTGGAGAGAGGGAGACACCACCACCACCGCTACCAAGAAATAAAGGAAGAGAGGGAGAGCGAGTGGGAAATAAATAGAAATGAGTAGAAAGATATTCAGAACTCCTGCTAGGAAGAACGCTGGAGGTGATGGGAAGGAATACTCGGATGAGCCACTTGGGCTGGGGACAAGGACCCTCCCCCACCAATGGACATCTTCAGTAATGAGAGGTGATGCTCCTCTGCCTTCTAAAGGGTGGGGGCTGAGGGTAGTTAACCTCAGAGCTTTTATTTTCCTAAACACAGGGAAGAAATTTGGTACCAGAGCCCAATTGCTGGGGACGATGAGAAGCCTTACAGGCACAGCCTGCCGCTGACCGCCACTCATTCCACACATTCTCCTTATTCTGGACAAACATTTGCAGCATATTCTCTTGAGGAGGCATCAAACGATTTGACAACTGAGCTTCCCCTATGTCTCTCATGCCTGCTAAGTTCCAGGCCTTGGGCAAAGAAGCAGTGAGGTAAGAGAGGCCTCACGCAGGCCACACATCCCTTGTGGTCTCGATTTCTTTGTAAAGAGATGGAGAGATCAGGGGTCATGGCCAGGTTCCAGCGCCCCACTTCCCGCATTTGAGACTCTTCTGCTGGTTAGCCGTGACCCCTCCAGCCATGCCCACAGCCCAGCCTTGACCCTGGAGGCTCACCTTCAGCCAGCCAGCATAGAAGAAGAACTGCAGGAATGTGAAGACGGGGACAACGAGGTCCATCTCGTGGCCAGGGTAGGCCTTGGCTGGGTTCAGAAACTGCCGCCCAATCAGGCAAGCCAGGAAAAAGCTGTATACTGCCACGGTCACCACCTGGGCGGAAAGGACGTGGAAGAAATGGGCTGGGTGGATCTGGGCCGGACCAGGCAGGAGCCTGGACTCTTCGCGCTTGGCCCTAGAGAGAGCCTGCCAAGTCCAGGCCCGACTCCCAGGGCGAGCCTCTTTCCCCTCACAGGCTGCTTCCTGCGTCCTCCTAGCCTCAGTTTTCCAAAAGGGCAGCTTCACTGGCCTAATCCTCACCTGCGTGTACACCAGCGGGACACTGATCCAGTCGTAGGCATACAGTTGTCCACACTGCGTACGCAAGGTATTCATCTCCTGAGGGGCAGGAGGGAAGGTTGAGGTTTTGACTGCCACCTGCTCTGCTAGGCTCTTCCCCAGGCACAGGATCTGGTGCTCATGACCCAACCCTGGCTGTGTGGTCATGGGCAGCTCACTTAACCTCTCTGTGCCTTAGCCTCTTCAGCTATAAAAAAAGGAACCAGGATCCCAGAGGCTCACTTTAGAGAGGGGGTGGGATGGGACTTTGGGAGGCGCCACACTGGGCTGTGGAATCCTGCTGGAAAAGATCCTAAAATCCCAAGACAGGCTCTGGGAAGTCCCTCAGGGGGCTCAAGCCTTCTCTTTGTAGGAAACCTAGTTTCACCCGGGGCTCGGCCCTCCCCGCTCTGCACCAGCCCCATCTGAGTCCCGGGCT